CTGGGGATGTTTGAGCGAAATGGAATAGTGATGCAGGCAGGGAAGAAGGGAGGGAGAACTGGTTATCACTCCCCCTCAGCTCCAAGTGGATAATTACACAGCTCTCCAAGCCCCAGGACTGGGCCAGGCGGCAATCCATACAGACAGCCTCTCAAAATTAATGGGACTCCAAGGGGTTTGGGGTTGGGGGGAACAAAGCTGAGAGAGGCTAAGGAGAGTGAAACTAGACATGGGAAGAGACTGTGTCTGACAGAAAGAGCCCAAGATGCAGGGTCTGAAGCAGAGATGGAGGGAAAAAGCAGGGAAATTGAAACTCAGAGAGGTTAAGTCACCTGTTCAGAGTCACACAGCAGGAAAGCTGGGATTTGGACTGTTTGTCTGCATCCAGAGAACATGCTGTTAACCCACTCCATGGGTGAACCTTCTTGCTCACTGGAAACAGGCCTGCATCACACAAACCCTGTGTCAGAGCTGCTTCTGGTCTGAGTGAAGGTGGGACTCAGGGAAGAGCAGGGACTTTTGTAGATGTGAGGGAGGAAGAGGGAGAAGGTGTGATGGATCCTTCCAGGTCAGCTTGCACCGGGCCCCTCCCTCCCATGTTGGAACTAAGGGCCCCTCTGCATCCCTAGCCCCCCTACCCAGCACCCCCTGCAGTGCATCCCTAGCCCCCCTGCCCAGCACCCCCTGCAATGTATCTCTCTAGCTGGCTGCCAGGACTGGATTCATCTGGAGTTTGATTATTGTTATTATAACAATATTGTTAGTATGATTATTGTGCCAGTGCTAATCTGTTAGTTTTATAAATGTGCCATGGTTATGAGAGATGTCGGTAGAAGGTATACAGGAGCTATCTATACTATCTTTATAGTTTTTACAGTCTTCCAAAATGTTTATTATAAAAACCCCACAAGAAACAGCAGATTCCAGCTGTTGGTTAAAGGCAGGGAAGGGGGCTCATGAGGGGAGAGGTCAGGGCCCCAGAGGGGACCTGGGGTGCAGATTGTTGGTGCTGGCCCTCACAGCAGTGTTCTCATTTAGGTCCAGCATACAAGGGCCCTGTGGCACTTGAGTTAAACCAGTTGGGCTAGTATCTCTCACTTAGGGCCCCAGCCTGAGTCTACACTGTGTGCACTCAAGATTCAGTTCACTAGGAGGCTGAGGATGTGGGGAGAAGCATCGGAAAGATCTTCAACTTACTTCACATCTGTTATGTGCTGGTGAGTCTCCTAAGCTGCTTCATATGCAACGTCAATTTGAATTCTCATCAAATCCCATTTCCTCGTGGATTTGGAGGCACAGAGAGGTTAGGTAACTTGCCCAAGGTCACACAGCATGTTCTGACCAAAGCTCTTCTGATAGTCAGGATGGGAGACCTTTTAAAGCTTTCCCTGTGAAGGGGACACACTTGGTGCAGCAGGACTTCCATGTCTTCCAGAGCAGGAGCCAGTGGGCCAGCAGGTTCAGGAGCCACGGGGCCAGTCCTGGCAGCCAGCAGGACTGAGATGAGCTCTGGCCCCTCTCCCAGCAGCTTCTTGGGCATCTCGGCTTGGCTCTTCTCTGCATGGTTGCTCTGTCCTCTCTTATACCTGGTCCCCAAGACTATTCTGTCTGCTCTACCCTATGGTGAAGCTCAGCTTCTTCTCCTGGCCCCTGCGCCCACTGCTCCCAGTCTAGCTGAAGGAGTGGCTGATTGGCCCAGCTCCTCTTCCTGAGGACTGGCCGCCCTTGGGTCCAGGTTTCTGTGACTTGGATGGGCAAGACACACAGGGCAGTATGGTTCAGTGCCACGAGTCCCAGCTTTGCAGTTGGATTGCTTAGATTTGAACCCATTTTCTCCCTGTGTGACCCTGGGCAAGTGACTTCACCTTTCTGTGTTCTTGACTCATCCTCAGAGGTAGCAGTCCTATCTTCCCCCTGTGAAGACTGAATACATGATTTCGTATGAGTGAATGAGTGAATACATAATGCCGCGCGAGTGAATGCACGACTGCATGATGCCACGTGGGTGAATGCATGACTGCATGATGCCACGTGGGTGAATGTACGAGTACATGATGCTGTGTGAGTGAATGGATGCAGAACCCTGGCCCAGAGGAAGCACCCGGCTGCCACTGCTTGTTGCCATTATTACCACTGCCATCATAGAAAGCGGTGTGTCAACTTGGCAGGGGCAGTGAGTGGGGCAGTGAGTGATGGACATGCCTTCTACACCCAGCCAGCCCAGACTGCTCATCCTCATACTCCTAACCTGTCCATGAATCGGGGTGAAAGACTTCCTAAGTAAGAGGGGAGTTCAGGCTTCAAGGGGTGTGTGTGTGTGTGTGTGTGTGTGTGTATGTGTGTGTGTACACCCGCAGGTGGAGAAGTAATGTCCCTCCTCCCCCCATCAACTGCCATTTCTGAGTTCCTGGGCTATGGCCTTGGTTTGTCCCTTATGCCTTGACAGTGATGAAGGAGGGCTCTTCCCTACTTCAGCAGGACACAGGTAGATGTGTGTGCAAATGACAGGCTTTTAGGAGGAAAGTAGGGACTTTGCCTCACAATCAGGAATCTTCTAGGATTACAAAAGACTCTGACTTTTGCATCTGGGTAAATGAGCAGGTGGGTGATAGGAAAGGAAGGCAGATCATGTGGGGACAGCTGCAAAGCCTGAGCTCCTCCCATCCTGGTCTGTGGAACACCTACTTCTCCCACCTCAGAATCTTGCCTAGAAGTCTCTTTGCACCCCTGCCCCTGGCCGCCCACCTCCAGCTGCTGGGGATGTTGGTGGAGATCACAGGCACAAGAAGCCTGAGGGCTCTGGTGCTAGGATGGCTCAGGCCTCAGGTTTGGGGCCCAGGCAAGACATGGGATAGAAAGCAAGGCCAGGAGGAGGCTGAATTATCCCAGCAAACAATAAGACATTGCACACGTGCACACCTACAAAGCACCTAGAAACATCTCTGGCTCATGGCCAGTGCCACCTCGGTGCTATTAACTCAGATGATGATAAATGAGAATGAAAAAGCCTGTGCTGGAAGCTGCCGGAGTCCACTAGCCACCAGAACACAACCACCAGGGGACCCCACACCTGCTGGAGAGAGGAGACACTGGCACGGGACAGACTGCTTACTTTGTGCCAGATACGGTTCATTTAATCCCAGCAGCCACCCAATGAGATCATCTGCCCATCTTCCAGGTCAGAAGATGAAGGCTTACAGAGGTGAAATAACTCTTTTTCTGTGCATTTGGAGGATGCCAAAGTGACTTCTTTGCACGTGCTCTTCCCTGTCTACAGTGCTTGCACTCTGCCCTAAAATATTCACAGAGCCATAAGAATCGCCCCCAAATTGAGTACCTTACAATCAAGAGTATTTATTATCTCCAAGGCTCTGTGGGTCTGGAACCCTGGCGCAGCTTCGGGGCCATAGTATGACGCTCATGGGACCTTGGCACTTTAGCCTTTGTTGGCCTCTTCCCTTTTAAAAGAATATTTGAAAAATTACATTTCATGCCTGTGTTGGTATAAAGATATTAATGTTATATATTAAAAACATTTTCTTTGACCTAAAAGTTCCTTCTTTCTCCTAATTTTATTTTTATTTTTTTTGAGACAGAGTCTCACCCCATCGCCCAGGCTGGAGTGCAATGGAGCAATCTCGGCTCACTGCAACCTCTGCCTTCTGGGTTCAAGCAATTCTCCTGCCTCAGCCTCCCAAGTAGCCACCACACCTGGCTAATTTTTGTATTTTTAGCAGAGATGGGTTTCACCATGTTGGCCAGGCTGGTCTCGAATTCCTGACCTTGTGATTCACCTGCCTCAGCCTCCCAAAGTGCTGGGATTACAGGTTTGAGCCACTGTGCCTGGCCCTTTTTCCTAATTTTAAAAGAAGTGAAAAACATTTTCACTGGTTCTAAAAGTATTGTGGGCCCAACGCACTGTGCCTCCTGTGTTTAGTGGGCAAATTGGCCCTGAGTGGCTTAGCCAAGCAGTTCTGGCTCAGGGTGACTAGTGGCTGCAGCCATCTGAAGTCTTGGCTGAGGCTGCAGGGTCCATGTCTAGGATGGTGCAGTCACATGGTTGCTTGCAGGAGGCCTCAGTTCCCCGCTGTGGGCTTCTCCATGGGGAGACTTGAGTGTCCTTGTGATATGACAACTGCTTCCCCTAGAGTGAGAGGGGGAAGTAGGAAGGAATCCTTTTATGCCGTATCTTGGAAGTCGTAAATGATCAAATATCATTACTTCTGCCACATTCTTCTTATGAGTCGTTAAATACAGCCTACATGTAAGGGACAAATGGGAAGCGAAATTAGGCTCCACTTTTTGAAGGCAGTGGACAGACATATTAAAAAACCATCATACTTGGCTTCAGACAGGCCTTCTCTAGGTCAGCTAATTTGACCCCTGTTGCCACCTCCTAAGTCTGCTCTAACACATCACTCAATTTATCGCCGTCTGAGATTACCTTGCTCATTGATCCGATTGTCTGGCCCAGCTGGAAGGTCAGCTCCTCCGTGGGAGGGGACCTTGTCTGTTCTCTGCTGTTGTTCTAGGGTCTAGCACAAAGCCCAGCACCCATGAGGCTCTCAGTATTTGCTGAATGAAGGAATGAATCATTGAATGAATGTTGGTGGTGGTGGGGGAACCTGCAGTCACTCTAAACAGGGGGTGGAAGGGGAGTGTGTGGAGAGGCTGAAGCTCTCCGCTTTGGGGTTTGTTGTTCTGGAATGGTTTCCAAGGGGATTGGGAAGGTCTCGTAGGGAAGAGGAGGGGGAGCAGGAGGGAGTAAGAGGCCTGGAGAGGCTGGATGACCAGATGGCATGGGATTACCTTGTGAGCAGGGACTCCAGATTATAGGACCTGGTGGGATCTAGCTGCTCCAGATGTAGGAACAGAAAAATTACAATGCATTGTGGCAGATGCCTAACAGGAGTGTGTTCGGGACTCATTAGGCTGGATACTGATGCTTACCGCTGACAGAGGACCTTGCTTTTGACCACACCCTTCACTGTGGACTTTGCTCACTTGCCGGGGTGTTAGGGGATTGCTGAGTCCTGGGGAGACACACTTGGCTGCTGGTTGCTGCAAGACCAGCTCACCTGCCCGTGCTGCTCCATTTAGCCGCTGGGGGGCAGCAGAGGCCCATGCTTGACGGCAGCGCCCTGGCTCCTGCAGCCTCCGCCCTCGGAGCCGTTCTCTGCGGCCAGCGACCAGCTCCTGCTCCTGCAGGGGCAGAAGCTGCTGGGTGGGGTGGAGGCCACACGTTTGGGGTGTTTCAGTCTGTGCTTCTGCTTCTGAATTCTTCCTTCCACTCTCCCCTGAGCCTTCTCCTAGTATCCTTTCCCACTCTACAAATCTTCCCGGAAGATGAAAGCAGAGATGTCGGAGTCGGGTGGGGACCTGGAACTTGTCGATTTCAGTGAAGGAGGTGGACTTTATCCTAAGGGCCACGGAAAGTTCACTAAAGTGTCTGATTTGTGTTTTTCAGAAACGTACCTGTGGCTACAGGGAAGCAGACAGTTCAGACAAGGAGCTGCTTCAGTGGCCCAGGTGGGAGAGGAGTCTGAGAAGAACAAGTGAGGCAAGGAGGCGGATGGCGGGTGCCAGAGGCCCGTGCTGGGACACGGGGAGAGCTGGGCTGAGTGCAAGGGGGCAGTGCTGAACCCCAGAACAAGCACATTATTGCAGTGGTGGTGGAGGGTTCAGGACACAGGGCCCAACCCAGATAGGCATGGGTTCCAGGCCAGGATTCCCTTGGTGGGGTGACAGCAGGAAGGAGGGGAGCAGCACCGCCCCCCGCCCCCCCAGATGAACTGGCTTGCTAGAAAGTGAGTCAGGAGCAGGGGCCAGGGACCCACAGCTGAGCACACAGTGAGGCATTGGTCTTGACTGTGGAGGAGTCAAGGGCTGTCAGCAGACATCAGGGACAGGGTGAGGAAGCCCTAGAGGATTGGCCTGGGCTGGGCCCTGATCTGGAGTTGACTGCTGTCCTACACTTTCCCACTTGCCGCTGAATCCACAGGCCTCAGCAGCCTTCCTACTTACTGCCTGCTGGCCTTCACCTGACCTGGCTCTAGGCCCTCCAGGTCCTCCAGGTTGGTACTGAGCTGGAAGCTGGCTGTGTGATCACTGGTGGCCTTGTGCCCAGAGACTACAGTTGGGCTGGGTCTAGCAGAGGGCCTGGCTGCCTTCCAGGGATCAGGAAGGGGGACCACTCCTCTAAACTCAGGACTCAGGAAGGGGGACCGCTCCTCTAAACTCTTGCTGTAGATGGTGAAGGACTCATCCCTGAGCCTCCATGAAGGTTTGGGCTTGTGCCCTTCTCCCACTTCCTACCGTCTGTTCCTGGCTCCTGCAGCATTTGCTCACTGCTCCCTGCTACCTGGCCAACTCCTAGTCATCTTTATGTCTCCGTTTAAATGTCACTTCCTTGGAAACAATTTCAGTGCATCCATTATTCTTACTCAGAACGTCTTTTGCTTTTCCTGCAGTGCATTTATTATAACTTATTATAGTTTGGAGAGTGTGTGTGTGTAACATCTTGACCCCCCTGAATAGACTGGAAGCTCCCTGGAGACAGGGAGCATGTCTGTTTTCCTCACCATTATAGTCCCAGGCTGTAGCCCCAGGCCTGGGATACTGCAGGCACTCTAAAAATATTTGTTGAATAGGTGAAAGCAAGAAAGAATGAATGCATTATGGATGCCCCTGAGGATGGCCTATGTGTTGGGAATTCATAAAGCCACAGAGTAAACCTGGCATCTCTCTGGATCATCAGTTTTACTTGGAATTAGAAACGTTCTATTTACTTATTAACCAAATATTTTACATTACAAAAGTAATACATGTTCCTTATCAAAATTCAACCAATAGGCATTATTCTTATATTGAAACAAACTCTGACACATTATGGAGTACAACGAAAAGTTCACTTGACTTTTAAAGAGAAAACATGAGGCTTCAAAGACATTTTGAGCTTAAGAGGGGCCAGACTGGCCTGCAGTGCAGGCTCCTGCAGGGATGAGGTCACTCCTGTGGGTTAGGGCACCTCCATGGGAGAGGCTGAGAAACTGCTGTTAGTCAATTGCACTGTTGTTGGCATCTGGCTGCAGAGCTGGGCGCTGACTGCACTTGGAGAGAAAGCAAACGCCCACTTTATAAAAGGAGAAGACGTCTGGCCAGACTCTGGAGGCAGGGCCCTGGAGGGGGAGAGTGTTTTTATGGAGGAGCGGGGTTGCAGTGAGGCTTTCTAGGGGGTATCAGGAAGAAAACCTTCTTGGTAACGAAATAACAGAAATTCTTTTGGAAGAGTGAGAGGGTTTACTCCCAGGACAGGGTGCTGTAACAGGTCAGCTACTTCCAAGGGGCTGAGTGTCCCTGGCTGGAGGCATCAGGGCTGGGGAGTCCGGGGGAGGTGAGGAAGTAGGTGTGTGTGGGGGTGTCATCGGGAGACCAGCAGCGAGAGAGCCAAGGAGAATGACACTATTATGTGCAAAATGCATAGCTCCATGTGGCTTGAAAGATGCGGGCCTGGAGCCTGGTAGATCTGGGTTCAAATCCCAGCTCTGCTGTTTTCGTGATGGGACTTTCGTCAAGTCCTTTTCCTCCCTGAGCCTCATTTGCTCCACTGGCACAAGGGGAATCCTGATCGCCCTCTTGAAGGAGGTTGTGATGGTTCCATTAGGAGTTTGTTCTCTGCGTGTTCAAATCACCTGGGTACTGTTTTAAAAAATACTGGTGTCTGGGCTTCAGCTCAAGCCACCTGAAGCAGAATCTCTGGGAGTGCATCCCCAGCATCCAGGATGCTTGAAAAGAGCCCCGGGTGGTTCTGCATGCCGCTGGTGGGGAGAATCCCTGCATAGGTGATCGAAACTACAGCCTCATGATCGTCTCCAGCAGAGGAAGTGGTTCATGTTTCCCAATTAATCCACAGCAGCCTGGCCCAGGCTCCGCAGTCAGTCCACAAGCTGCTTTTGTGCCTCTCACTGGGCTTTTCTCCTCTGCTTGGCTTGTTTGCTCTTTGTCTGGGTCCCAGCCATCATGGGAAGGGCGAGAGCCAAGTGTGCTCACTGGGATGCAGCTGCTTTCTGTCCAGTGGCCTCGGGGGTGACAGACAGATGCGGACCTACGAGGAGAATGACACAGGGGCAGACAGGCCAGGCTGAGAGCAAGGAACATGCCTCCCTCCCCACAAGGCAGGTCTAGAAAGACATTTACTTGGTGCTTAAACTTGAACTTGAACTTCACAAGAAGCCCCTGGAGGTTGGGGCGGCCAGGTGGGGAGTGTTGTTGAAATACAGATTGCCAGGCCCCCAACCCCAGGGCATCTGATTTGGTAGGTCTAGGGTGGGGTTGGGAACTCGCTCTTCTGATGAATTCCCAGGTGACACTGTGGCCCCTTGGACTGCACTTTGAGAACCACTGACGTAGAGGCCTGCGGAGAAGTCAGCCACATACCAGCTCCATCAACACATACCCAGAGCTAGAGAGCAGCAGGCTCAGAGGAATGGCGAACAGTCAAGCAACCCACAGACACGGTGTAGTCGGAGGAGGCACCAAGGAGGCGAGAGACCCAGACGCATATCAGCAGAGCTGGGGAGAGACAAGGACCCCAGTCCATCCAGGGAGGAGACACCTAAGGGACAGAGACAGTGACATCTTCCCGGCCCCTCACCCCAGCTCAGAGAATGACCTCAGGAAAGAGAGTGGTAGACTGACCAGCCACAGACCAGCTGACTGGAGGGAAGAGAGGCGGGTGGAGATTCACAGTGTGTGAGCAGCAAGTAGCCAGGGGGAGCTCTAGGGTGTGCTGGGGACAACTTGTACCCCTCAGTTTTCAGGTCATTTGCCAGTGAATTGTAAATCCTCCCTGGTGGGAGGATTCACTCCATATGAAGACCCTGGGAGCCCTGGGTGGTGGCGACTTCAGAAGCAGTGGGTCCTCTTTTCTGGCCTAGGTTTGACCCATGTGGGACTTCTTGCTCTTCTGCTCAAAGGTCAGGTCCTGCCACCTCCTCCAGGAAGCACTTCTGACTGCTCCACCCATGGAGCAGATGCTCACCTCCCGGAAGTTCTATGGTGTCAGCTTCTCAAGCCTTCTGTGGACTTTTCAGAGCTTTGGTTCATTGTTGCTGGTGTGACTCTGGGTTGTGTCACCTGCTTCCCAGCCCTCGGTGTCTCCATGTGTAAAATGTGAGTGGGGATTGGCTGAAGGATCCCTAGGGCCTCTTCTACTTGAAATAACTTGTATTTACTCCCTCTTTCCTACCTTTTCTGGATTGTGTTCCCCTGTCCTTGAAATTTTCTTGAGTAAGGCCCATCAATATATGTATGTTTATTTATAAACATATACATTATGAGACATATATAAAGTATACATTTAAAAGGATGAGATAAAAATACAAATAGAAGTTACTGTGTGTGTATATATACACACAAAGAAATATATGTAAATAAATAGGTATTTATGTCTTTATTTTCAACAGTACTTGAGAAGTAGCATAAATATACAGTAATTATAACTTCCATTACTGTTATCGAGTACTCAGAGAACAGGGGTAGCTGTTCTGTTATTTGATAATAACTAATAGAATGTTTACTCGGCACTCTTGTTATGAGCTGGGTACTGTGCTAGTTGTTTACATGAATTGACTCTTTCAAGCTTAACAGCCCTATGAGGTAGGCACCATCGTCATCTCTACTTCCCAGGTGGGGAGACTGAGGCATAGAGATGGTGAGTAACCTACCCATTGTCACACAGCCAGAAGATAGTGTGACTGGGATTTGAACACTGGTCTTGCCACCAAGCTTGAGCTACCTGTTAGAGGGCAACTGAGGGAGGTTCTACCTCCGAGGCCTGGTCCCTGAAATGGCATGCTCTCAGAAGGTGAAGGCCATGCTGCCTGTTTTCTTTTTTTTTTCTTCTTCTTTTACTTTTTTGAGACTGAGTCTCGCTCTGTCACCCAGGCTGGAGTGCAGTGGCACAATCTCAGCTCACTGCAACCTCCACCTCCTAGGTTCAAGCAACTCTCTTCCCTCAGCCTCCCGAGCAGCTGGGATTACAGATGCCCACCACCGTGCCAGCTAATTTTCATACTTTTAGTAGAGATGGGGTTTCACCATGTTGGCCAGATCTCGAACTCCCGATCTCAGGTGATCCATCTGCCTCAGCCTCCCAAAGTGCTGGGATTACAGGTGTGAGCCACTACACTTGGCCCATGCCACCTGTTTTCATTAGAACCACTGCTAAATATTCTCTGAGAACTTCTCAGACTTCCCAGGTCCTGTCCAGGAGCTCTGCCAGCATGATCTCACTGACTCCTTCCTCAAACCCTGCCAGGGCAGTATTGCCATCCTTACAAAGCCCAAATCCAGGAGGCAGTGCCCTTCCCTGGGACCTGGCTGGGCCACTCTCCTGCCACCTTGGCTGAGCAGGAGGGTGAGTTTCCCCATAAACATTAGGAGAACATTAGGAGATGCATCAAGTTGCCCTAGAAACTAGACTCTAGTTAAGTGCTTGAAAAGTAATTATAAACTCCAGAATATCTTTCAGCCGAGCAGGTGGCTGGAAAATTAGGAATCTATTTCTGAGACACCTTCTGCTTTCCAGAAACGCTGAGGTTATGTTTCAGGCAGGTCAAGCGCTGGTGGCCTCTGTGGAACGTGTGTGTGTGCATGTGCGAGTGCGCGCACACACGGGGTGCAGCACTGAGGGGCCAAGGAGAGAGGAGACGCCAGTCTGGGGGCGTAGCTGTCGTGCCTGCCCTTCCCTGGAGCTCTGTGCAGTGTGGAGGCGGCAGGCGCCTCCTCTCTGGTGTCACCCCTTGAGATCTGGGTTGCTAGGACACCAGAGCTGAGGAGATGCCAGTTGATCTGCCAAACATTTTTTCTTCCAATTAGGAATAATTAGACAAAGGGAGAAAGTGTGTGCTTGGATGGTGGCAAGAGAGGCTTGGAGCTTGGGGACCCTGAGGAGTGGTTAGGGTTTCATAGCCGAAGATGGTGAGGAGTGTTGCCCCCCCACCCAAGGGAAGGAACCTCTTTCTGGACCCATGGCACCCAGCCTGGGGGAGAGAGGAAGAGATCTCATGTTTATTAAGTATCTAATACATGTCAGGCCTTGCATGCAGCCCTCTCATGCTAATGACAAGCCGGGAAGAGGGACTAGGATCGCATATGGTCTCTTCACTATTCGCAGCCATGCTGGACTCCCTTGGTCCCCAAACTTCTTGGAGTTCTTGCACACACTCTTCTGTCTGCCCAGAATGCTTGCTCTTCTCTGCGTGGCCGGCTCCCTCACCCCCTCCAGGTGACCACTCTTATTATCCACAATAGGCCCTCCCCCCACCTTTCCCCCGACAGCCCCTGGCTACTTCCCTGCATGGTGCTCAGCATGGCTCACAGCTATTTTATTTATCCGGTCACTTGTTTTCTAGTCTGTCTTCCTAGCTAGAATATCACATTCATGAAGACAGCGTGTGTCTCACTTGTGGCATATGAAAGGCTCTCGGTAAATATTTGTTGAATGAATGAATGAGGATCTCTGTTCAAAAGGAAGTGGAGGCTCAGTGAATCTGAAGTTCTTTCCTAAGGTCTGCAGCTCAGTTATGGGTAGAAAGGTAGAGCCAGGCCTTCACCTCGTGTCTCCCTGGCTCCCAAGCCGGCTCTCTTTCCCTGGCATCACGCTGCCTGCAACCAGGGGCGGCCTCTGTCCGTTCCCCTCTCTCCAAAGAGGCCTGCGTCAAGGGAAGGCTGCTGGGCCTCCTCAGATATAAAGACTTCAAGTTCTGGGAATGGGGCAGTGCAGGGTAGTGGTCCCTGGAGTCCACCTGTCTGGGTTCAAATTCCAGACCTGCCTGGCTGGGCCTCAGTGCTCCCGGCTATAGTTTGGAATGACAACAGAACCCATTTCTCCAGGGTCTTTTGAGGATATAATGAGATAATGCATGTGGAATGTTTAGAGTGGTGCCCAGCACATAGGAAGTGCCTCCTATGATATAAATTATAGAAACAGCTGGGGTGACAGACAGCTCTGATCCTTCCTACTTGTGTCAGTGACACATCGTGGGCCGAATCATGCAGCCTGTTAGGTGCCTGGTATAAATTATTCATATTGGAATCTGAGGCCCCACATTCTTAAGAGCTCCACCATTTGGAAGCTGAGAGAAGCTAGCCAATGTGAGAGAGCCCAGTACAGTATCTGGCACATAGTAGGTGTTCAGTAAAATGGCAGTTGAACCTCTCCTGAGATAGCCGGGCTGAAAGTCCAGGGGACTGTTGAAACTCTCCACCTGGGTGTGCCATTGCCCCTCAAATGCAATAATAAAAACAGCTACCGAATTATGAGGCCACTGTGCCTGGCTTTTTCATGTACTTTTAACGATTTGAAATTATCCTATTTAACTCATGTACTACCTGTCTCTTTCCAGTAGAATGAAAGCTCCAGGAAAGAGGGATTTGTCTCCTTTTTCACTGCTCTTTTCTCCACGCCCAGAGCAGTGCCTGGCTTATAGCCAACCTTCAAGAAGTATTTGTCGAGTTAATTGCCCTCGTGTCTGTTATGGATCCTGTACTAGATTCCTACTGCTGTAACCAATTGCCACAAACATTTGATTTAAAATAATAACAACTTTATTATCCTACAGTTCTAGAGGTCAAAAGTCTAAAAAAAAATGGGCCACAGTTTGTGTTCGTTTTGGAGGCTCTGGGAGATCATCTGTTTTCTTGCCTTTTCTGTCTTCTAGAGGCTTCCACAGTCCTTGGATTGTGGTTTGGCATCACTCTGACCTCTGATTCGATCATCACATCTCCTCTGAGTATGGTCCTCCTGCCTCCCGCTCAGGCCACTCAGAGAATCCAGTATCATCTCCCCATCTGAAGAGCCTTAGCTCCATCACATCTACAAAGTCTCTTGCCTTACAAGGTAACATTCACAAATTCCAATTTAAAATGGGAACATCTTTGGTGGGGGCCGTGATTCTGCCTACTGCAGGCCTGACACCCCGTCTGTTCTTTCAGATGATTTATTCTCTTTTTCTCTACCTTCTTCTTTCTCTTCCATCCCACCACCCCACCCCCCTGTCCCCAGGCTCTACAACATCAAGGGTCCGCCTCAGTGGAAAGACCCGTGGTTCCTCTTCCCAACAGCTCTCAACTCTCAACTCTGGGAGTGATAAGGGGATTCTAAGACTTCTTCATGTTTAATGTTCTGGTGTTCTGGTACACTGTAGTGTTGTTAAGCACTGAAATGTAGGCACTTTTTGTTGTACCAGCATTTTTTCAGTATTTTAGAAAAATCTGAATCACAGCTGTCTGAAGCCTACTCAGAGAGTTATACGCTGCACTAAGATTTCCAATTAAACAAAGGTGTATTCATGCAGAAGGCATGCTAAGCACCTCCTGGCCCTCTTGAGACCCTTCCAAGCCCTCGTAGTGTGATGTTACTTCCCTCACTCGTAAGTGATAGTGAAGATGCAGAGCTGAATGTCTTTCTCCTGTTTCAGCCCCTTGTGCTCCCTTTAGAGCCACTTTGGGTCTCTGATGGAATCTACCTAGGATCAGGTGGTGGGGAAGACTTGGAAGAAAATGGGAAGAAAGTTTAGCTGGGGGACTTAGGACAGAAGAAAGTGGAAAAGGTATAGGGAGATTCCCAGACCCAGTCCTTAGCCTTCTCCACTCTCTTTGCCAGTTAACTTAACCAACCTGCATTAAAACTTCACATGTGGCTGAGCACAGTGACTCACGCCTGTAATCCCAGAACTTTGGGAGGCTGAGGTGGGCAGATCACTTGAGGTCAGGAGTTCAAGACCAGCCTGGCCAACTTGGTGAAACCCCACCTCTGCTAAAAATATAAAATTAGCTGGGCATGGTGGTGCACACCTGTAATCCCAGCTACTCAGGAGGCTGAGGCAGGAGAATTGCTTGAACCTGGGAGGCAGAGGTTGCAGCGGGCTGAGATTGCATCACTGCACTCCAGCCTGGGCGACAGTGAGAGTGAGACTCTGTTTCAAAAAAAAAAAGAAAGAAAAAGTGAAAAAAAAGAGCTTAGCATGTGCTGGGTACCTTTCTAAGCACTTCATATATATGAAGGAATTTACTCTTCAAAAGAACCCATTGAAGTAGGTATTATCATTAACCCTGCTTCACAGACAAAAGCACAGAGAGGATAAGCAACTTGTTCAAGGTCTCACAGTGATGAGTGGAGCTGGACTGGACCCAGGCAATTTGTTCAAGGTCTCACGGTGATGAGCAGAGCCAGGCTGGACCCAGGCAGTTTGGCATCAGATCCCATGAGTCCACCACTGCATGATGCTGGATTTTGCTTGATAGCTAAATTCTCTCTGATCTCATCTTTCTTATTCCTCCTCAGCCAGCTCTGTTATGATTTGGCTGTGTCCCCACTGAAATCTCATTTTGAATTCCCATGTTTTGTTGGAGGGACCTGGTGGGAGGTAACTGAATCACGAGGGCAGGTCTTTCCTGTGCTGTTCTCGTGATAGTGAATACGTCTCATGAGATCTGATGGTTTTAACAAGTGAAGTTTCCCTGAACAAGCTCTCTTCTCTTGTCTGCCACCATGTGAGATGTGCCTTTCACCTTCTGCTATGATTGTGAGGCCTCCCCAGCCATGTGGAACTGTAAGTCTTTCTTCTGTAAATTGCCCGGTCTTGGGTATGTCTTTTTTATTTTTTAATTTTATTTGTATTTTTTTTTTTTGAGATGGAGTCTTGCTCTGTCATCCAGGCTGGAGTGCAGTGGCATGACCTTGCCTCACTGCAACCTCTGCCTCCTGGGTTCAAGTGATTCTCCTGCCTCAGCCTCCCTAGTAGCTGGGATGACAGGCATGTGCTACCACATCTGGCTAATTTTTTGTATTATTTTAGAAGAGATGGGGTTTCACCATGTTAGCCAGGATGGTCTGAGTCTCCTGACTTCATGATCTGCCCACTTCAACCTCCCAAAGTGCTGGGATTACAGGCGTGAACCACCACACCAGACTGGGTATGTCTTTATCAGCAGTGTGAAAACGGACTGAATTAATACAAGCTCCTTCCTCATGGGCCCTGCTCCTTCCTCTCTGATCATTTATTTTGGCCAGGACCTTGTCTGCCATCATTATACCTGGAGAGACTTTCAAAAGATGAAGAAAGCTTAGTCATTTATGCTGGCCCATCTCAGATGAAGCAACATTTGAGGACCCTGTGTGGGTTCAGTGGTGATCATAGCTTGTATTTAAGAAAATATTAGCATTTTAGTGTCATTTTAATGAATTACAGAAATACAATGATGGATTGTTTTGCTCCAGAGCTGAAGCCACTGGGTCAGAATCAGAGCCTAGTTAATCATGAGGCCATGGGGCAGTGACCTGGAGCAGCCGCCTCTATGGAATTCCAGACAGCTTTGGAATCATTTGCCAACTAACTGAGGTTTCCTCACCAGATCCTGTATATGGCCTGTAGAATGTCAGTAAGTCCTGCTTCTGCCAGGTAGGCAACACCCTCAAAGGGAACACCCCATAACATCTTGGACATAGGTTACTTCTTTTACTCTCAGAGCAGTTCTATGAAGTGTGCATTACTGTGTGCATTTTATAGAGGAGAAAATTAGGCTCAGAGAGGCTCAGCAATCTGCCCAAAGTCACAACTAGTAAGAGGCAGAGCTGGAGTGTGAATGTGGAGTTGGCTGTGTCCAGGGCTTGTGCTTTTAATGTAGTCCCCCTGCCACCCCAAGAGATGGTTGGTGGGGGAGAGATGGCCTGAAACACTTCCTCCTGCCTCTCTATCTCACAGCCAGTGTCGGGCAAAAGTGCCTGCAGTGAACTGAGGTCTGTGGCTCACTTTTGCCACCTAAAATCTGTGGCACTCAGAACAAGAGACCTTTTTGTGGCCTCTTGTACTTGTCTGTTATGGAGGTATAAGCATTGTGACTGGAAGAAAAGGGAAAGGAAGGAAGACAAGAAGACTTCAAGAAAGAAGTAGCATTTGAATGAGGCCTTCAATACAGGGAAGGGCGTATCTCCATTACTGACTGTGGGTACATGGGGGGGTTCATTCACTTATGATTTCCTGAACTCCTACCATGTGCAGGCACAGAGTACACATTAGTGAGTAGAAGAGGCCTTGTCCTGCCCTCTCTAAGCTACAGTCTGTGGCAGCACTGGCCAAGAGAACTTTCTGGGCTGATGGAAATAACTCACGGTGTTCAGTGGAGTAGCCACTGGCCACATGTGGTTACTGAACATTTGAAACGTGGTTAGTGTGACAGGTACTGAATTTTAAATTTTTTAAATTAAATTTTTATTCAACTTTAGTTGATTTAAATTTAAATAATCACACCAGGCCAGTGGCTATGCTATTGGATAGTACAAATTTAGAGGAAAAGACAGACAATAAACAAAGAAATGCTGATGGTGATAAGTGCTATGCAGGAAACAAGATCAAGTGGATGAGAGTAGTAGAGAGTATCCTATTTAGATTGAGTAATCAGAGGAGGCCTCTCTGAGGAGGTGACATTTCAGCAGAGACCTAGAAGATGAGTGTGGGCCATAGGAAGAGTCAGGGGCAGAGGGAACAGTGGGAGAGAGGCCCTGAGTAGGAAGGAGTGGGTATGCCCGAGACAGTGCGAGGAGACCAGTGGGTGAGAGTGTTGTGGGTGAGGGGAGGGGATGCAGGAGATGAGGTCAGGGCATGAGGGGAGCAGGGTCTGATCACGTAGGCTTGTAGGCTTGGGTAAGGAGCCTGCACTTATTTAAAGTGCAATTGATGCCACAGAAAGGTCTCTTGCTCTGACTGCCACAGATTGTAGGTGGTAACAGTGAAAGCAAGGACATCAGGGAGGGGCCGTAGCAATGGCCCAGGGTTGGGGAGATGGGGGCACAGAGTGGAGTGATGGCTTTGGAGATGAGGGAACTGACTGAATTCAAGGCATACTTTCAAGGCAGATATGGCAGATAGCCTGGCTGTGGAGGGTGAAAAAGATGCTCAGGTTTTTGGCCCAAGCCACGGGGCAAATCGTGGAACCATTTTCAGAGAAGAGAAAGTGAAGAACAAAAAAAAAAAAATCAAGAATCCAGGCAGTTGGATGGTCATCCAGATGGCTGTTGAAGTCAGAGGGAATCTGAGTGTTTATTTGATTATGTTGTGTCTCTGTGGGCTGAGAATGTGAGCACAGTCTGTGTGGGTGAGTATCCACTGATGTTTGTACACATTTTTGCTTTGGGTAAAGTCAGCGCATACATTTGGGGTGGGGTGAGTGTGTTTGCACATGAAGGTCTGTATTTTGCATGACTATATGGGAATGTCTGCACACATCCATGCAGGTGTGGGAGGGGTCAGTGTGTGTGAGTGTGTACCTCTGTTTGTGTCTGTGCGTGAGGTGAGAATGTCTGTCTAGGCTTCAGGGTGAGCCCAGGCCTGGTTTATCGCTGTGAGATGTGTATAAATGAGGTTTGTGTGTATGCATCTGTGTGTGTGCAGGGTGAAGGTGTGTGCATGTGCATGTGTGTGGGGTGACCGTGTGCAAATTGGTGTATGTGTGTGGATGCAGGTGTGTATATTCATGCAGGAGGGTGGAGCTGTATGGGGTTGCATTTTTCCTCCTACATGAGGCATGAGTGTGTGTGTAGGGTCTGTGTATGCACATCTATGTGGGGGATCATATGCACAGGTCTGTGTACGTCTGTCTATGGGGAGAATGCATGCACATATGTGCACAGGCATGGAAGGAGGATTTCCAGGGATGGGTGTGTATGGGGGTGTGTGCCCATCTGAGGGCCATGAGTGTGCCTGCCTGTGCCCTTTGAAGCTCCTGTGACTGCAAGTCACAGAGGCAGCAGCTTGCAGAGCATGTTATGTCATGTTTCTAGGTCTCTCAATCTTAATGCATTTTAAATTTCCAACCCAAGGCTGATCTCAGTGGATTGCAGAGCCATTTGTTCTTTGCTCTGATTTGAAAAGAAAGTTTCCAGAGTAGGATCCCTTCTGCCTCCAGCCTGGCAGTCCCACCTGA